TCTCTGCCTTCATGCTTTCTTCACTGTTACTTCAGTTTTCTGGTCTTTGTTCTTATGGATTTCTGGTGAAGGAAGTTAGTGCTTTTCTGGAGTGCCTCTTTTGTTTTCAGTTCAGACACAATGCATGTCCACTCATCATGAACATTGCATTGTACATTGTGGAGGCTGTAAGTGTTGATATTAAGTTTCTTATCTTTTTTTTTCTTTTGGGGGATGTATACCTCTATAGTTTTATGCAGAAATCAAAAGAAGTATGTGACTCAATTTTGGTCATAATGATGAACATGTATTACCCTCACTGCCCTTCCCTTCAAGAAAATGGAGAGTAGCCAATCAAAGACTATGAGAACCTGAGAGAGTCAGCCTGACCCACCTCTGACCAGGGAGTAAATTTTCACCATAGTTTCCCAATTAACTTCAGTATAGCTCATGGGCAGTCTACTTTGTCCGCTGCCTTAAAATAATTTCTACCTTAATGAGTGGCCTATACACCTCTGTGTGACCCTTCAGTTATATAAAGAATATGCTTTTAAGTGTCCTTTTCATTTTGAATTGCTGTATTGGTATCAGGATACTTTACATGTGAAAATGATACTCAGTGAACAAATGAAATCTATGTCAGTGTTAGATGTCTTATTTCAGTGTGCACAGTTATTTCTCTCTTATGTTAAGCAAGTCAGAAGAGAAGGAAGTAGTATGAGTTAAACAATTTGAAAATATTTTACTTCTGCTCCTTCTGAGTAAAAGGAAACATGTAGTTTATTCTTTTTTTACCAAATTTCTACCCAACTCACTTATGATATCTGAAATTATTTTTAAGAAATTAATAATTTCAAGTAATAGCACAAGTTGCCCTTTCTCCTCATTTCCACAATTCTGTCTTCTGTAGGCCTTTTAAAATGTTTACACACACAGTATAAGAGAATAGACAAAGCATTACCAACATAATAAGTGCAAAAACGTTTTAATCCTACACTAAGAATTTATTGGAGAATCCATGCAAAAATGAGCAACTCAGTTACAGACCAAAAATGAGAGCAGTATCACCTTCTATTTCTTTGGATAGACAAGAGGGTGGAATCATGGCCATGTGGTGACACTGTCTTGTCTTAGAAGCAGGAAGTATCTCATAAGGACTAATGAAACTTTTAGGAAACTTAGTGGCTAGGAACCATGCCTTCTCTGTTGATAATGAATCATATCCTAGACAAGACAGCAAATACTAACAACTTCCAGTGTTACATAAGGTTCTAGCTGACCTGAAACATCAGGACCCAATGAAAAACAACAGCCTCAGCCAGGCCATGCAAGCCAAAATATCCTCCAACACAGCATCTAGGATATTTTGCTGACATGAGGCACATTTCATGAGCGTTTTTTTTTTTTTTTTGATATACAAAGATTTGACTTTGTCACATCAGGAACTAATTGTCCAGGCTGCCTTCAAACTGCAATAATCCTGACCTCTGCCTCAGGAGTACCTACTGTTAACTGGAACAAAGCATGTTGGACTGACATGCATGCAGAGATCGATAAGTTAACAGAAATGCTACATTGAAAGCAGCATAGAAAAGGCTCAATACCTCATGCTTTATTGGGAGAAGAATTCACTGGAAGCATTCCCCAGCAAGAGAGTTGGAGCTAACAGCTGCTTGCATACTAGGGATAGATATAGGAAGTTAGTGGGAGAAGTCCCTGAAAGAAGGGAATCCCAGGTAGAACTCTCAGGAAGACAATGGACAGGAATATCTTCCATCAGCCCTCTGCCACTCCTGAGATAATGGGTGTTTCTATGAGGCTGGGTGGGATATTTCTAGGAAATGGCTAAAGGTGAATGTTTGTTATTCTTTAGGGCTGGGTGTAGAGTTTCAGTAAGCCAACTGTGATGAGGAAAGATCCAGTCCTCATGCAGCTGCCCAATACTCACTCTAACAATCAGGATTACAGGCTTGAGCCAACAGCATGTAGCTCAAACTATGAGAATTAATCACACAAAGACCAGTTTTCCAGGAATAACCACTCCCATCTGTAAAGACCACAATAAAGTCTTGAGTCCTCAGAACCCTCAGTGCAATAATTCTAATCAAATCTTCTGACCCTCTTGATAGAGGATGCACCTTTGGTTGTCTTTTGCTTTGCATCACGTGAACAGAACTGCTCAACTTCATATCAGAGTAGTAGGACTACCCTTTTTCAGTTCTTCAATGCTTACCAAATAAACCTCTTGGTTATCTTATGTCCCTTTCTTTGTAAATTCTTTCACTAAGAGTTGACATCAAAAATCCCTATCACTCTCCTAATATGCCCTTTATCTTGTGTAAAAGTTTGATCACATGTGCTGTTTGCTGAGATCATTCCTCTATATCCTCTCAGCATTTTCAGATAACATTTTAATTAAGCATTTTTAAAGAAAGTAATATGGATACATTTTTGTCCTATTTCTCATGTTTCCCTATCAAAGGAAAGGGGTGGTTTTTGTGCCTAACTGACTGTATTTACTCTGAGTCATCCTGGTTCTCAGGGATCTTTACAATTCTCTAATTCCACCAACACAGTGTAAGCTATGGAGCAAAATCCACTTTACAAAGTATATTAGGTAAAATAAATGCCTTAAGGCATTTGAACTCAGTGGAAAAAGAAAGCAATCCCCAGACCTGGACACTAATAGCTCAAACCTTAATCCTATCTGCTGAAGAGGAGCTTTCAGGAGGATTATGCTTTGAAATAATCAGGAGGATTATGTACAGAAAATACTTTGAAGGAGCCTATCTTAAAAATACATAACACACCCATAAAGGCTGCTGGCGTTGGTCACAGGGTACACTACATGCATAGGTAGCAAAAGGTCTGAGTTCAAATCCCAGGGCCAGCAAGAAAAAAAGAAACAAACAAACTGATCCTTTAGTCTCACAATAAGTCCCAAATTTGTTGTTCCTTTAGGACAAAAAAGAGGCCCAACATGTAAATCCAAGAGAAAGATTATGGATTAAGATTTGGAGAGGTCTACACAGCAATAATCTTGAAAAAAGAATGAAAAGAGGAAAGGGCAAGAGAAAGAAGAGAATAAAAATGACATATAGTCTCACATTAATAAGAAATCTTGAAACTATACTATTACATGTGCTATATTATAATAAAGAAATTAACAAATAGATCTCAGTGGAAAACAAATGAGTACTCACTAGATTTCAATGTAAAGACAAAATTGATTCTTGACAAAACAGGCATCGTACAATGGTGGCCAAATCAATAAACACTTTAAAATATGAGACAAGGACAAATCCAGGTTCTACTTGAAAACATGCTTTCTATCCTTGTCTGTCTTGGACAATATGCAAATTGTAATGGGAAACAAGAAAGATAAAATCTAAATATTTTTACAAGTATCATTTCACATGACTTTTATCCCAGCCTTTGGAAAATAAAAGTTGGAACATGCTAAGTTGAAAGTCACCCTATTATACATAAAAAGTTACATAAGTCCTAGTCTCTCTATGAAATGTAGAGCATGTTGAAGGTCACAATCAAAAAGATACACAAATGGCTGGCAATGTGGCTTAATTGGTAGAAAACCTGGGCAGCAAGCATGTGGTTCTGAGTCCAAATTCCAGTCCAACATAAAAGAAATTCTTAAGCCACTCCTTCCAGCACTTAAGAAAGTCTATTAATGCAGGATTCCATGTGGCTGTCTTTATTTGCTGGCACAAGAATAAGAAGCATAAAGGCTTCTAGAGAAAAAATGTAGACATACTTACTCCACAGATCTCTAAGAATTCATAAGGTAGTTGCTAGTGGATCAGGCCTATATACTTAGTACTTGAGAGGGTAAGCCAGGGGGATCATGATTGGAGGTCAACCTGGGTAAAGAGTTCATAGTCCCTCACTCCAAAATAACTGGGAGAAAACAGACTGGATGGGATGTGTGGCTACAATGTACAGTTCTTTCCCTGGAAGCAAAAGCCATGAGTCAAGTCTTCTCTTCACATCATTATTTATCATATACCTGGAGGAAAGCAGGTGACATGGCATGCTGTTACTAACAAAAGTTACATAAACTGACAGTGTCATGAGTGCGAGAATGGAGTCCTTCATGTTGCTAAAAGGAAGCAGGAGATGTGAAGGCTCTCCCTCTTTACTTTAATATATAGAGTTTCACTTCCCTGTGACATCTTACACATATTTTTTGGTAATGGGAATGACAGAATATATTCCCATATATTTTTCCTTCTGTAAGGTTTGACACTGATTGTATCATTACATTTTTGATGTTGAATACAATGAACACAGACGGGTTCATTATGCTTACACCTATAGATTTTCTGTCCAGTGTGTGGACTTTCATGTTTGAGGTCATGGAAATGAGTGAAGACTTTCCACATTGCTTTCCTAATCCAGTTACTCTCCATCTTTAATTTTGTATGTTTTGGAAGAGGACTGGAATGCATGAAGGCTTAGCTATATTACACACATGTATAGCACTGTGATACAATGTAAATTGTATCATATCAAAGAAGATTACTGGAAAAGGTGAAGGCATTCCTCCATTACTTACATAGTGTTTCTGAATTCATTCATGATTTTCAAGACAGGGATATGTGAATGTTTTATCATACTTGACATGACCCTACTGTTTATTTACACCATTAGTTCTTTCTGGTGCATGAAAGGTACTCGAACTAAGGAAGGCTTGCCACATTGCTTGTATCCACTGGGTTTCTCCTGTTTGCATTCTTTGATGAGTATGAGGAACACTGGATAGGGTATAGGTTGTCTCTAATTCCTTTCATTCATAGAGTTTCACTGCAGTGATTTCACATTTGATATTGTCACTGGAAATTGCTCATATCCATAGCTCATCTCTCTAGTATAAGTACCTTTAGGTCTTTTAAGGGTAGTGAGGCAGGTGAACACTTACCCCACATTGTTTAAGTCTATAAGGTTTGTCTTCACTGTGAGTTCTTTCAAGTCTTCAAAGGTGACTGAAATGAGTGAATGCTTTATCACATTGCATATATACATAAGGTGTGAGCACCTCTGTGCACATGAAGGTGGGTGCGTTGATTGATATCTTTTCCACATTGCTTACATCCACAGAGTTTCTCTCCAGTGTGAGTTCTTTCACTAATATGAAGGTTACTGGAATCAGTGTAGGCTTTCCCACATTGCTTACATCCATAAGGTTTCTCTCCACTGTGAATTCTTTCATGAATTTGAAGGTAGCTAGCATGAGTGAAAACTTTCCCACATTGCTTACATCCACAGGGTTTTACTTCAGTGTGATTTATTTCATGATATTGAAGGTAACACACACTAGTGAAGAACTTCCCACATTGCTGACATCCATAGGGTTTCTCTCCAGTGTGGGTTGTTTCATGAATACGAAGATTACTGGAATCAGTGTAGAGTTTCCCACATTGCTAACATCCATAGGGTTTCTCTCCAGTGTGAGTTCTACTATGTTTCTGAAGGTGATTGTTTTGATTAAAGCCTTTCCCACACTGCTTACATTCATAAGGTTTCTCTCCAGTGTGAGTTCTAGTATGTCTCTGAAGGTGACTGTTGTTGTTAAAGGACTTCCCACACTGCTTACATCCATAGGGTTTCTCTCCACTGTGAGTTCTTTCATGAATTTGAAGGTAACTGGCTTATATGAAAACTTTCCCACATTGTTTGCATCCATAGGGTTTCTTTCCATTGTGAGTAATTTCATGAATACGAAGGTTACTGGAATCACGGTAGGCTTTCCCACATTGCTTACATATATAGGGTTTCACTCCAGTGTGAGTTCTACTATGTCTCTGAAGGTAACTGGCTTGATTAAAGGCTTTCCCACATTGCTTACATGCATAGGGTTTCTCTCCACTGTGAGTTCTACTATGTTTCTGAAGGTAACTGGCTTGATTAAAGGCTTTCCCACACTGCTTACATCCATAAGGTTTCTCTCCACTGTGGGTTCTTTCATGAATTACAAGGTAACAGGCTTGATTAAAGGCTTTCCCACACTGCTTACATCCATAGGGTTTCTCTCCAGTGTGAGCAATTTCATGAATACGAAGGTTACTGGAATAACGGTAGGCTTTCCCACATTGCATACATACATAGGGTTTCTCTCCAGTGTGAGTTCTACTATGTCTCTGAAGTTCACTGGCTCGAATAAAGGCTTTCCCACATTGCTTACATGCATAGGGTTTCTCTCCACTGTGAGTTCTTTCATGAATTCGAAGGTAACTGACTTGAGCAAAAACTTTCCCACATTTCTTACATCCATAGGGTTTCCCTCCAGTGTGAATTCTACTATGTCTCCGAAGGTGACTGGCTTGATTAAAAGCTTTCCCACACTGCTTACATGCATAGGGTTTCTCTCCACTGTGGGTTCTTTCATGAATTACAAGGTAAGAGGCTTTTGTGAAAACTTTCCCACACTGCTTACATCCGTAGGGTTTTTCTCCACTGTGAATTCTTTCATGAATATATAGGTTACTGGAATGAGTGTCGCCTTTCCCCCATTGCTTACATCCATAGAGTTTTCCACTAATGTGAGATGTTTCAAGAATTTGAAAGGCATCAGATTGAGTGCAAGCTTTTCCACATGGTTTCCATCCATGAGATTTCACTATATTGTGTATCCTTTCGTGGAATAGAAGAGACTTAAAATCAGTGAAGGTTTTCCCATCAGCATTACATAAATTGCTTTTCCATGGTGCTATTCTAAGCAGAGTTTCCTTGCTTATAATATTCTCTGCAGTCTGATGAAAGGATTCTCCACATTGAATACGTTGTTTATGTTCATGCAGTCTCTCTAACACTTCAGGTCTGCAAAACAGACAAAGATTACCATTCTTACCCTATTAATGATTTATTAAGAGAATTTATGGTGTTTGTTTCTTCAGGATTTATGAACACAAAAGTACTACATGTTCTGCAGCAGGGACTGAGGACAGCTATTATGGAAACAGTGGTGTTCATATTTATTTCCATAATACCATTTCAATGTTAAGTGTTTGACAACACTGAATGAGTTTTACAATATTGAAATACACTTAAAGTGCTTATTGAGATGAAGTGGATGAAAAGCTTGTAGGGTTGTGAAATAAAAGAAAGAACATGAGGACATAGGATGAAAAATGGGCCAGTTGGTACCAGTGCACATGATCATCCCACTGTGACAGAATGGATAAAATATAGTTAAATTGGCTTCTGAACAGAGTGGGGTACTTTTTTATATTGATCAATAGGACAGGGTCTCTTGTGACTGCTTAGGACAAAATATATTAAGAATTATGGCACATACTAAATTTTGAATTTTTTGATTCTTGATGCTTAACTTATTTTTCTGATCTTAGAGAAAGTTTTCACTGATTTCAGCAATTCATAAGTAGAAGTTGCAGTTTCATTTCCATGGTTATCAAACTTCTTGTCAATGCTACACATGATGTTCACTATTTTGGTCATGAGTACAAATTACCTCATATTTCTTCTGGGGTTCCTGAAGTCCTCTTCAATATTTTCATTTTCTTCTTTTGTTTGTAAGGTATAGACACAGAGAAATCATTAGTTTTTAATCAATTTGAAAGAACAATTTGATACCTCAGCTATTTTCATGGTATAATATGATTATATATATAATATGAACCATTACCATCCCTTTTTGAACACCCCAGAGGGTAACAACACCAATGATCCACAACACTAGTGTGCAGTTTTTATAAGGTAATGGTGCCATATTTACCTATGTAGGACAGGTTGCTATACGTTTCTAGCATCACTTCTCTGTAGAGCTTCTTTTGGGAAGGATTCAAACAGCCCCATTCTTCCAGGGTGAAGTTCACAGCAACATCCTCAAAGGTCAGGGGCTCCTAATATGTCCCACACACATTTGTGAGAAAATTTGTGAGTGTCACAGTAGTGGAAACAGACAATATCTGTGTACTAAGTACACATCGTGATGTGGTCTCCACATACTGAATGCATTTTCTTTTTATCACTTTCTCATTCTCCATCTATCCTCACAGGCACTTCATGGTAATTCTTACATCTCACTGGACCTATTTCTTAAATTCAAAGCACAACATGGTCACAAAAATTACATTTTACACACTGATATTGTAGCACTCTATTGACAAGATCCTTCTTATTTCCAATTAGAGTAATATCAGGGGACAACAGTCTAGAGGAATAATGGTTTTAACACATGAATAAAGCCTCATGTCTACTGGTATTGCAGAACTGCCAGTGAGATGAACCTTACCAAACCAAATATAGTGGAAAAAGGGGATAGTGTCCCAAAACAATTTATTCCAATAATATCCTATTATATACATGCTATTTATGATTATTTGCACATTTCTGCAATGTTCACCAGAGCGAGTTGTACTAAGAGAAACCACAATGCACTCATGGTTTTGAATAGTGTTGGTATGACAAACAGTATTTAATATCTCTATTGTAAAGAGTTTTTTTTGGAATTGAGAACCTCTTGCTGACTGTATGAAGAGAGAACATTTGGAAGCTTCTACCTGGTTTCTTAAAGAGTAACCCAAAGTTATAGTTAAATAAGACTCATGAAGAACCATTCAGATAAATTACAGATTTTGCTTTAGCATGCAAAAACATAAAGTAGAAAAGAGAAATGTGTCAAGTCCCTAGAAATAGTTGGATTTCAACAAGTCATCACATCAACCTTGCTGTATAAAATTGTGCAATTTTGAAAATACACCTTAAAACTCATGAACAAAACAACTTTTCAAAGTGTAATCAGTGTCATAAGTTGCACACAGCAATAAAATTAATTGGAATAAGAAAATGATCACTTGACCCACTTGTGGAGGCCTAATCTTGTAATTCTACCAAAGGATCACAGGTTAAACATTGGACTGATCTACACAGCAAGAACCAGTATCAGAAAAGGCAGAATAATGAAGAAGAAGAATGGAAGAGAGCAAGGGAAAGAACACAAAGTATCCTATTATATAATACTAATCAACAATGTTCCAACTACATTATCAAAGACACTGTACTATAAGAAAAAGATTAACAAATAGGCCTCAGAGGAAAGGGAACCAGTCTTCCTTTGACTTTAAATAAGAGAAAATTGATTCATGACAGAAGACACACCACACAATGGTGGCTAAAACCACAAAATGTGGAACCCAGTTCCTCTTTGAAAACACATATTGAATTCTCCAATATCATGGACAATGATCAAATCGCATGGGAAATAGGAAAGATAAAATCTGAATACTTTTAAAGTCATGCTGTCACAAGCCTGCCATCCTATCATTTGCAAAACTAAGGAAAGACTAGCAAATGTTCATGTGATCCTGGAGTACATCTCCTGTTCAAGACATATGTGTAAAGTACCTGTATGAAAGTAACACAAAAAGAAGAGCATTTTGAAAGTCATTACCCAAGGAGCATACAAAATGAAAGTGGAATGTTAATATAGTAGAGTGGCAAAAGACAAACAATGAGAATAAATATCTGCAATACAAGCCAAACAAAATGATTAGTGTACTGCATACATGAATGAATGAGAATGAGATTGAGAAATGTACATATCTACTCAACATAAAATACCTTGCATGAATCAAGATCTATGTCTGTGATTTAGGAATAAGCTGAGTAAAATAAGTGTTCAAAATCAAAATACATAAATAATGTGTAATGGTTAAAAGGAGTGGCAACTGATGCAATCTCCACTGACATTTCTCTAATTCTAATTATAAAATAGCATCCCAAAACTGTTTCTAATACCCACTGGACATATTGCTAATATTAATCAGAACTATTTTTCACATCCTGGAGAAGACATCTAGAAAAGATCCCAAAACCATAATCACTGAAACAAAAGTGAAAATAGTTTAGTTCAATATCACACATGATTGAGTTTGTGAAAAACACTCAAAGACAGCACCCAGAAGGCATTTATACAGGATAGGTCTAATACTTTTTATAATTCCAAAGGGTCAAAATAATGGATAAGATGGATAAGTTTAATGGATAAGATGGAAAAAGGATTTTCAGTTTATACAAAGTAGTTCAAAGAAAATGCTTATGAAGCAAATATTTAAAAGTTTTCTGTTCTTCCTGCAGTCATGCTCACTCCTAGTGACCCTGAGCCTGAATCAGCACAAAGCCTTCTTTACTGTCATGCTCAGAACAGAATTATCACAGGGAATAATCTACCAGCAGTGAAAGTTGATTTAACCATGTGTCATCAGCTGTTATCTCCCAAGTTCTTCCCCTTTCTTGAAAACCAAGGATCTTTTTTGCCTAGCAATTGGGCCATCTGTAATCCTTAATTGGGAAAACACACATAATGCAATAATTTCATAAAACCTTTAAGGGTGAAGAACACACTCAGTGCTGAAAATGAGCCCTGCAAGGCATAAAATTCCATTGATCAGCACAGAAACCTGAGGATATAACTCTGGGAGCACATCATGTTCTTTTACTCTCATCTACTAGTGAGAGACTCTCGGCTTCTTCACTGATATTTCTGAGAGAGAACATCTCAATTCAGTCATTTTAAGTTTCCACTAAAATAAAATGTCAAAGGCAGAACTTGAGTCTCTATGAGAGTACCAAAATGTGACTGTCTTTGACTCTTACCCTCACAGATATTCTTCATGTTTTCATAGAGAAGAGTAAATCCAGAATAACTATACATGTCACAGTCAAAACACTGAAGAGAAAACAGTACCATGATAGCAACAGGCATACCTTTAGAAAGGAAAAAGCACACACCAGCATTTACCTGTTTCTCACCTGACTTCAAATACTATACAGCTTCAAAGTGGTAACACACCATCTCACAAAACACCAGACTTTGTTGAATTATATAATTTTACAATATTTAAACTCATTTGATAGCTTAGAATGTGGTGACTCTTTGGGAAAAATTCACTAGATTCATTAAAAATATTTTTATTTGGTGTTGATTAATGAATTCTGTAACACTTGCATCCAATAGGCTGATGAGCATGTTGAGTTATCTATCATCATTTTCTGCATTGTTCTCCTTCCTGTTTATGTTTCAATTGGACAAGTCTTTGACTTCAGGGTTTTATGTGAGCCCCACTACCATTCTTTTTGCTGTGGTTATTTTTGGAGATGGGGGCTCATGAAATACATGCACTTCACCAAAAACACTGAAATATAAAAATAAATGAATCCTTGAGAAAAGAAATGAATAGCATGGTAGTAGGTCAATTCCTGAGCATGAACATGAGGCCACAGATTCTATCCCAAGCACTGGAAAAAACTAAACTAAACAAAATGACACAAAGAAAAAGAAATGAACCAAAGAAATTGAGGTTTTAATTAAACATATAAAAATAGGATTACCTGTATTATTTTTATTGGTTTCCTCCTGGAGTTATCTTCCTATTTCAAAAAAACCAATCAATAATATTCCAACAATGGCTATTTGAATTTCCAAGGTAAAAGATGATTATATTACACAATACCAAAAGAAGAACTTTTCAGACCCTGGTGCCTCACACTTGTCATACTAACTACTTTGGACACTGAAGTAAGGATGATCACAGTTTGAGGAACCCTTGTTTATCTGGGATGGTGCCATGTATCACCTAACTAGCATATATTTAGGTACCACTTAAAGGGGCAAAGGAAAACAACCAAAGTTGTTTCTATTGGTAAAGATATTCTAAGAGTTTTAATAATTCTGCGCCAGAATCTGTGATGAAGAACAAACAGGTTTTTAAGTATATCACCCAACAAAATAACCTCTCAAGTGAATAAATCCTTTCTTTTAGCTGGAGATCCTAAAGGTCTGTGACTATTCCATGGTCCATGAAAGTCTTCCTCAGTTGACACAAATTACATCGTGACTAGACAAATTCTATGAGTGAAAATGCAAACAACTGAAAACTTACCCAAGCAAAGTAATCTTGGTAACACTAGTGGTTAATATCACCACCCCACCATCGTTCATGTTCCCATGATTCTTACATGCCCAACAAGGGAAGCATACACTTTTGATTGTTCCATGTTCCACCTCAAATTCATCATCTCACTTGATCAATTGAAAAAGAACCCTAACTCTACGAATTATCCTAATGAAATTCCCTACTCTTTCCAGGCAGTCTCTGGCTCATCCTCAGCATGAGCCACTATATCAACCACTCCTTTATTATTATATGAAATCCAATATCAAGGCTAAGGATCTCTGGTCCAGGACCTAACTTGAGTCCCTCTTTTATACATCATCTCTCACCTTTTTTTTTTTACTACATTTTGCTTCTCTTTACTACTCTTGAAAAACCAGTCCTTCTTTGCCTTGCCTTGAGACACCTGCACACTCTGTTGTTGGGGTTGTCCTGTCACTGAGAACCTAAGTTCATGTTTTGACCCAATCTTCATTTCATTTTTGGAAAATACTGTGTAGACAAAGGCCAAAGAGAACATCAATTATGTTCAGAAACCTGTGATAAGTTTCCAATCTGAATTCACCCATTTGTAAACCAAGTGCAAATGCACCACCATTGCAGTGAGTTGTGCAATGTGAGCTCTGTGTATATTTAGGGATTCAGTAGAACTCTACTTAGTATGTCTGGGATCTGAGTGTGCATTCAAAACCCTGCTTCCACATTTTTAGATAATTCAGGACCATCAGTTTTTACCCTGAGAAGTTTGGAAGGAGCAGGGACACCAAGGATCACAGCTTCTTTTGCTGGGAACCTACTACTTCCCACAATGACCTCATTTGGGGACAGAATGAAGGGGTCCAGGATAGATGAGTTTATTCAGAGGTAGAGGACATGATGACAGGTTCCTTCTCATCTTTGAAGATACATACCCTATAGAGAGGATGGAGGGCCACAAGGCACTGCAG